TATTTTATTGATCATGCTATTACAGTTGTCCCATTTCCCCTCTGCCCTGCACACCCCTCCCACCCACATTCCCCTCTTTAGTTCATGTCCAGGTGTCATACATATAAGTTCTTTGGCTTCTACATTTCGTATACTATTCTTAACCTCCTCCTGTCTATTTTGTACCTACCATTTTTGCTACTTATTCTCTGTACCTTTTCCCCCTCTCTTCCCCTCCCACTCCTCCACTGAAAACCCTCCATGGGATCTCCATTTCTGTGATTCTGTTCCTGTTCTGGTTGTTTGCTTTTGTTTTTGTTTTTTTTTAGGTTTGGTTGTTAATAGCTGTGAGTTTGTTGTCATTTTACTGTTCATATTTTTTATTTTCCTTTTCTTAGATAAGTCCCTTTAACATTTCCTATAAGGGTTTGGTGATGATGAACTCCTTTAACTTGACCTTATCTGAGAAGCACTTTATCTGCCCTTCCATTCTAAATGATAGCTTTGCTGGATAGAGTAATCTTGGATGTAGGTCCTTGACTTTCATGACTGAATACTTCTTTCCAGCCCCTTCCTGCCTACAAGGTTTCTTTTGAGAGATCAGCAGATAGTCTTATGGGCACTCCTTTGTAGGTCACTGTCTCCTTTTCTCTTGCTGCTTTTAGGATTCTCTCCTTCCCTTTAATCTTGGGTAACTTAATGATGATGTGCCTTGGTGTGTTCCTCTTTGGATCCAAATTCTTTGGGACTCTCTGGGCTTCCTGAAAGTCTATTTCCTTGGTCCAACTGGGGAAGTTCTCCTTCATTATTTTTTCCGCAAGTAAGTTTTCAATTTCTTGCTCCTCCTCTTCTCCTTCTGCAACCCTATGATTTGGATGTTGGAACATTTAAAGTTGTCTCGGAGGTTCCTAAGCCTCTCCTCATTTTTTTGAATTCTTGTTTCTTCATTCTGTTCTGGTTGAGTGTTTCTTCCTTCCTTCTGGTCCAAACCATTGACCTGAGTCCTGGTTTCCTTCCCATCACTGTTGGTTCCCTGTACATTTTCCTTTAACTCACTTTACATAACCGTCACTTTTTCCTCTATTTTGCTACCATACTCAATCAATTCTGTGATCTTTCTGATTACCAGTGTTCCGAACTGTACATTGATAGGCTGGCTATCTCTTCATCACTTAGTTGTATTTTTTCTGGAGCTTTGATATGTTGTTTCATTTGGGCCATTTTTTTTTTGTCTTGGCATGCCTTGTACATAGTAAGGTGCAGAGGCTTAGGTGTTCACCAGGGCAGGACAACCCACAACACTGCAATGTGGCACTCTATGTGGGGGAGGGGCTGAGAGGGAACAGTGCCACTTGCTCCACTCTGCCCATTTTCAGTCACTTCCCCCACTACCCACAAGCAAATTGGACCCTTCTGATGCTGATTCCCGTGTGGGAGGGTTTGTGCACGTTCTAGGACCCAGTGGGTCTCTCCAGTGAACTCTCCTGTGAGGCTGAGAGTTTCTCCTGCAGCCACTTCAACACCCACAGGTGTTTTCAGTCATATATTTTGAGGCTTTATTTCCCTGAGCTAGAACCCTGGGTTGCTCCATCTATCTCACTCCCCAGTTGTTCTTCCTGGTTTATCTGCACACAAATGAGGGACCACCCAGTCTGCCAGCCGCTGCCTTGCCCACCCTGGTCCTCAAACTGCTGCTTTGCTGTGAGTCCTTTCCACCTGGCTGCACGTCTCCTCCTACCAGTCTGAGGGAGCGTTTCTTCTTTAACTCCTTGGTTGCCATACTTCCATACAGTTTGATTTCCTGTCAGTTCTGGTTGTTTCTTGTTTTTAAATTTGTTGTTGTCCTTCTTTTGGTTGTGCATAGAGGCACAGTGTGTCTATCTAGGGCCTCCATCTTGGCCGGAAGTCAATTTCTTGAATTTTTTTAAGCTCATCATTTCCTAACATTCTTAAAGTTTTGATTCAAACAAGAAACTAAAAAGATTCAAAACAGAAACCCCCAAAGATTAAAATCTATATAATCAAATAATACATCAATATAGTAAAAGATATGAATGACCAATAATGGAAAAATCTAACTTTATCCTATAGGTTAAACACTCTCCCCTACCAAAACTTTTCCAAAACTCCAACCAAGTAGCTAAATTGGCTAATTTGAATTTTATTTTCTTTCTCTGTCCAATTCTCTCCAATTGAAACATCCATAAAGTGTGCCATCATACAAATGTAGAAAATGTAACCCCCAAAATTTGTTGTGAGAATTAAATGAATTAAAATTTAGTAAGTACCTAGCACACTGTATGGCACATTGCAAACACTCAATAAGTAGTGGTAGTATTATAATTATCTGTTAATATTTATTGCATAGTATTTCTTCACAATAACTTCTTAAGCTATACAAAATTCTTAATAGTTTACAGAACTCACAATGATTTTCAATATTCCTGAAGTCTGCAACACTTGTGTAAAAACACCGAAAAAACGATAGTGGTTCATTTAACCAACTAATATCTTATCATTGACAAAGGAAATAAAGGATATTTTTAAAGCACTTGTGTTTACCTTGCTTAAATTTAGCTCAAAAAATTAAGTTACATATCAGAAACACTCCTGTAATCCCTTATTTCAACTAAACTTTTTTGAAATCACTGATATTTTAACCTGTTTTACCTGAATTTGCTATTTTCAATGTATGCATAATTAACTCCTTTCAACTTTCAGGGGTGTACTATTAATACACCTAGCAGTATATTTCCCTATTCTGGAATTAATTTTTTTGACTTATCTATATCTATGACTCAATATAAAAGGCTTTTCTAGTCAATAAACTCCTAGAATTTCCTAGAACTCAAAAATAAGACTTAAAAAATCTTTGTAATAGAAATAAACAGAATGCACATTAAATGGATGAGATTCATTTTCCACAAAATAACCCTAAAAGATAATTAGTAAGATATGTGATCCTTCCTTGACCAGTGTGGTTCAGGTGGTTGAGCACTATCCACAAAGTGGAAAGGTCCTTAGTTTGATTAGGATCACAGCACATACCTATTTGGGAGCTTTAATAGGTTTTTCTCTCAGATGTTTCTTTCCCTTTCTCCCTCCCTTTCCCATCTCTAAAAATAAACAAATAAAATCTTAAAAAAAAAGATATGTCATGCTGTTAAGATCTCATTTCCTAAATATCCATGGAGACTAATGCATATTCCAAGTCTTCATCCAGGAAATTAAATGTAACAGATAAATTGCAATCTATAACACAGTGATCTACCCACAAGGATCTGCTAAAGTAGTCAAATGAAGATTTATCCAGCTTTGTTCTAAGGAAAAGGACATGGTAACTGGTTCTTTTAAGTATCTAAGCCCCTGGAGAAGGATTCTCTATAGGGACAAGGGATAACTCTTAAGCTTATACCGTAACTTTGATGATGACTATCATTCAAGCCTTTTTAAGTTCCTTTTCTTTGATTCCATGATTACAAGAAAACCTCTACTTACTAGTCCCAAGCTCTCAGATATAGGAAGGCGTGCACTAGATTTTCAGCCTGAAAATTCTAATCACTGGAAAAGGGTAACCTATTCCAACATAAACCAGCATTCTAATGTGTACATTCTAAAATGTAAATCATTCTCTTATTCAGATTAGTTTGAATTAGGTTCCTGAAATCTGAGAATATATGAGTAAAAGTATACATTGGGAATATGAAAACCAGACATTCCTTCTTACTGACAACTGCTACAAGCATCTCTTGGATTTTTTCTCCCTGCCCTTAACCTGTTCCTACAAAAAAAAAAAAGAGAGAGAGAGAATGTTTTTTCTTTGATCTACTGAAATATAGCTAAATCAAATTTAGGTAGATTCATTTAACCACCAAAATGTGTAATTTTAAAGGAACAATGTAGAACTTAAAACCAAAACCAGGTTGCATGGTTTACACAAACTTTATTAACACTTACTCTAGTCCCAAAAGAAAAAAGAAACCTATGGTATTCAAATTGAGCTTTAAGAAAACATCCAGAAATTATTCTTAAGTTATTCAGCAACATTATTTATAAAGTGGTTTGTCACATGTGACTCAAGTGTATCTAAGAGACATCCCAAGTAGCACAGAGCCAGATAGAACACTTGCATTTGAAGTGTATAAATTGGAGACTTCAAATGAAAATCCAGACTTTTCTCACTGGGTGATTCAAAAGTAACTGTGCTATTACTTCAAAGACAAAAAAATTCTCTTCCACGCTTTGAAGAAGTCAGCCTTACACCAGACACCCCATCTCTTCAAATGTGACTGCTTAAATTTCATTTACAAGGAGAAAATGCACGTCAAATACACACTTTATCTAAAATAACGTCTAGTATCAGCCTTAAATCTACACAGCATAAGTCTCTTAGGACTGTGATGTCGAGATCTTCTACCCCAACTAAAATTTTCTTTGCAATCTCCGTTTCCAGGAGACTGAAAGGCTGCAGAGACACAGGAAGATGCTGCAGAGAGGCTGGGGTGACAAGAGGGGGTGGGAGGGGTGAGTCCCACAGAGGAACTGCATTAGGAGACTTTGAGAACATATAAGGGAGAGGTAGTTTAGCTTTGGGGTCAGAAAAAGACATTTCCAAGGTTATGTTTTCAAAAAGAACCTAAAGTGATGGTGGTACGGAAAACTGACATAAAACCTTGAATCCTTCACCGCCGAGCTTAAGTAAAGTAGGGAATGAGGGGTCAGGGAGACGAGCAGGGAGAGAAAGGGCCCAAAAGACCAGGATTTGAAAGAAGTACGTAAACTCTGAGCTTGGCCTTGATGCGCAACTTTGGTCCCAGTAAGCGGACCACAGGGGGAAGGGACGGCACTTCCTCAGGGCTGTAGATTGCAACTCGCTTACAAAGCTAAACTACTCCTGTACAAGATGTCTCCTCTCTCTCGGCTTGCTCCTGTTTATTTCTTTACCTCTCTCCATCACCAATGGCATTCCGGCAAAACTCTGCTAATGCCTGCGCTGCAGGGGGACAGCAAAAGGAAAATACCTGAGTCCAAGGAATCGCGCCGGCAACGACAGGAAGAGCCGTGAACAACTGGAATCCGGGCTGGATCCTCCCTTGCCTCTAGTCAAACCTCAATTCTCACGGGTGGGGCAGGGAACTTCCGCCCTGAACTAGGATACCAGGATACAGTCACTTCCGCCTAATGCTACTCCCCGCCTCCTCCCATACTCACACCCTCCTTGCTTTCTCAGTTGTTGATTCGTTCTCTAAGCCTGCTACACTCCCGACGTTTTCACTTCCTTTTCCAGGAGACTTCGACTTAGTTTTAACGCCTGATGTGAACTACATGACCCAGCGGTCACCAGGCAGGTTGATTTCCGGGCCAAGAGGTCCGCGCTGGATACATCACCATGGAAGCGATGGGTTTGGTCACGTGGCACCCCTGGTTACGGGTGGTAGCCGTGGGGTCGGGGGCTTAGGCGGGGGCCATTTTGCCTAAGGCTTCCGAGTTGGGGGGTGTTGGGGGCGGCTGGGCACCTGGCTGAAACTGCTGCTTTTCCACCTTTGCAGCTTGGGACTTGGAGAGGGACAAGAAGGTTGGGCTCCATCAAGCGCTTTGGAGACGATGGTTCCCTCCAGCCTCCACCTCCTAACGACCCTTCATGGCGGCTGCGCCCTCCGCACTGCTCCTGCTGCATCCCCTTCCACCCCAATGTTCCTATCGCCCCCAGAGCCGCAGTCTTCCTTCCGCTCCAGAGAGTGATGTAAGTCGAGGTGGGGGCACCATGAGAGACGGGAAAAATTACTGCTGCCCCGGAGCTTCAGGAGACCATAGTTCCTGTCCCCCTACACCTTCGCCTCTGGCCTCAACCCTCTTGATGCCCGCAGAGGCAATCTCAAGTAGTTGGAATGGGTCTGGAGGTAGTTTGTCAGGGGGAGATGAAGAGGAAAGTCGGCTCCTTCAACTCTTCCGGACCGCGCCGGATCCTTCTGAGGCCTTCCAGGCTTTGCAGGCTGTTTTGCCGCGGCGGGGTGGTCGGCTTGGCTTCCCCAGACGGAAGGAAGCCTTGTATCGAGCCCTGGGTCGAGTGCTTGTAGAAGGAGATAATGATGAGAAACGACTTTGCTTGCAACTCCTCTCGGACGTTCTTCGGGGTCAGGGGGAGGCAGGCCAACTAGAAGAGGCCTTTAGCTTAGCACTTCTGCCTCAATTGGTTGTCTCTTTACGGGAAGAGAATCCAGCCCTGCGGAAAGATGCGTTGCAGATCTTACACATATGTCTGAAACGTAGTGCTGGACAGGTGCTGAGAACACTTATACAGCAAGGATTGGAAAGTACTGATGCCCGGCTTAGAGCTTCCACAGCGCTCCTGTTCCCTATCTTGCTTACTACTGAGGATTTGTTGCTCGGCCTAGATCTTACTGAGGTGATAATATCCTTGGCCCGAAAGCTTGGCGATCAGGAGATAGAAGAAGAATCTGAGACAGCTTTCTGTGCACTTCAACAAATTGGGGAGCGACTTGGCCAAGAGAAGTTTCAGTCCTATATCTCTCGCCTGCCGTCTGCCTTGAGGAGACACTACAATCGCCGCCTGGAGTCCCAGTTTGGCAGTCAGGTTCCCTATTATTTGGAACTTGAAGCCTGTGGTTTTCCTGAAGATCCCCTTCCCTATGCAGTGACCACTTCCAACAGCAATTTTAAATTTGGGATTATTCCTCAGGAGCTTCATTCAAGATTGTTAGATCAGGAAGACTATAAGAACCGGACTCAGGCTGTTGAGGAATTAAAACAGGTGATGGGACGGTTTAACGTTAGTTCTACCCCACATTCTAGCCTTGTCAGTTTTATTAGCTTGCTCTATAATTTGTTAGACGATTCTAACTTCAGAGTGGTCCATGGCACACTTCAGGTTCTGCATTTATTGGTTATTCGCCTTGGAGAGCAGGTACAACACTTCTTGGGACCAGTTATAGCAGCTTCTGTCAAAGTGCTGGCAGACAACAAGTTGGTGATCAAACAAGAGTACATGAAAATCTTCCTCAAGCTAATGAAGGAAGTAGGTCCTCAACAGGTGCTTTGTTTACTCCTTGAACATCTCAAACATAAGCATTCCAGAGTAAGGGAGGAGGTGGTGAATATTTGCATTTGCTCCCTCTTGACTTATCCCAGTGAGGATTTTGACTTAACCAAGCTGTCTTTTGATCTTGCCCCAGCTCTAGTAGATAGCAAACGCAGGGTTCGCCAAGCAGCTCTCGAAGCCTTTGCTGTGTTGGCATCATCAATGGGCTCAGGTAAAACCAGCACTCTTTTCAAAGCTGTGGATGCTGTTGAACTACAAGATAATGGAGATGGAGTGATGAATGCTGTGCAAGCCAGATTGGCTAGGAAAACCCTCCCAAGGTTAACAGAACAGGGATTTGTAGAGTATGCGATACTCATGCCATCATCTGCCCAGGGTAGGTCAAGCCATTTGGCACATGGAGCAGATACAGACTGGCTTTTGGCTGGTAACAGAACTCAGAGTGCGTACTGTCACTGTGGTGACCACACAAGGGATAGCATGCAGATTTACGGATCTTACAGTCCAACTGTTTGTGCCCGAAGGGTTTTAAGTGCAGGAAAAGGAAAAAATAAATTACCGTGGGAAAATGAGCAGCCTGGAGTCATGGGCGAAAACCAGACCTCCAATTCCAAGGAGATAGAACAGGTATGCATCTTAATTTACTTGTGTTGAAACAAAAATTTAAAATGAAAACATCTGTCATGATTTAAGGGTGAGGCTGCTTTAATATTGTTACGCTTTGTTTTTAAATCAATTTGCTGATGTTGGTGTCTGTTATAATGGTACTGATCACATAGGAATGTTTAATAGGCTTTCTGCTTGGTGGATTTCATTAAATTCTAGGCATGATATGATAGAGACAGTACATGGATTGCAGTTTTGACCTATCCCTTTGGCATATCGGTTATCTTATTCATACAACAAACACTATTAACCTCTTAGGTACCGCCAGATAAAGGGCTTAGTTCTGGGAATGAAAACAAGATGGGTTCCACAAAGTCAGACCTGTAAACAGGCAGTTACAAATTTGTTAAGTGCTAAAATAGGAATATAAAGATTCTTGTGGGAATACTGAAAACAGAAAAAATAATTGCACTAGAAAAGTCAAAAAAGCCTTCCAAGATATGACATCTGAACTGAGATCCTTAATTTTGAAAATTTCACATATACAGATAACTTAATAATACAATGAATATTCTTATATTTCATCTGTATTCTTCAGTTGTTATCATCTTGCCATATGTATTCTATATTTGCCAGACCATTTGAAAGTGCAGCTATCTTAACATTTCACTCCTAAATATGTCTACATATATCTCATTAAGAATGATATTCTCTTTTGTAACCATCATATCATTATCACATCTCAGAATATCAGTAGTAATTCAGTAATATCTAACATAAACCCTGTATTTAAACTTTTCTAGTTGTCCCCCAAATGTGTCTTACAGTATTTGTTTTACTTTTATCAACCAGGATCTAATACAGGTCCATGTGGTTAATAGAGGGTCTGACCAAAGTAAGACCTGTTTGAGTGTGGTTGGTAGAGTAGTAATATGGGTGTAATAATTTGTAGTTTTAACTTGAACATATCACCTAAAATGTCATGGTGTGCTTGAGTGTGATATTGTTATGTTACAGAATTACATGCTTATGATTTTGTAATTAAAAAGGGGCATTACCTGTGCTGAACCCTATGTCTCTTATCTAGAACAACATGCCCACCTGTTTGTTTGTTTATTCATGACATTGAGTTTTTTGAAGAGTCTAGAGTAGTGTTTTGTAGAATTTCCTACATTCTTATCTGATTGTTTTCCTTTGATTACATTAAACATAAACAGTTTTAGCAGAAACACTGCATAAGAGAGATGCTGTGAACTTAACTTTGCATCACACCACAAGACATATAATACCAGGTTGTCCCACTATTGGTAATGCTAAATTTTATCACTTGCTTAAGGTGGTGATAGCCAGATCCCACCCTTGTAAAGGTTTATTTTCTTCTTTATAGTTAGCATGTGAGTTATAAAATTATATTTTGAGAACCTATGAATACCTTAACAACCTTTCACCCACTGTGTTTAGCATTCTTTTTTTTTTTTTTAATTTATTTATTTCTAGAGAGGGGAAGGGAAGGAGAAAGAGAGGGAGAGAAACATCAATGTGTGGTTCCTGTCAAGGGCCCTCTTTGGGGACCTGACCCACAACCCAGGCTTGTTCCCTGACTGGGAATCCAACCAGCGATCCTTTGCTTTTCAGACCTATGCTCAGTCCACTGAGCTACACCATCCAGGGCTGTTCTTAGCTTTCCTTAATGGTCCTTACCTGTATCATTTTAAGAAATTCTAATATTTCTCCTATATTTGTCACTTGGCATTCTTTTTTAAAATCTGTACTTAAGTAATTACATCAGTATTACTGTTGATGCTAAAATTGTCTCAAAGATTTGACCAGTAACTGGCTCCTATGGCTTTTGACATGACTCTTTGAATCCTTAACTTAAACATAACATGATGCCCAGGCTTACCTTGTACTTTTCTGGCTCCAAACTTAGAATCAACCTTTTTCTTTCCTCCCAAGGGCCCTAGAATTGCTTTTTTATTGAAGCATATGATTCAGAAACCAAAGTCTGTGTATAGATGTACTCATTGCTATTGCCTACCATTGTAGATTGGCCCTTTCACCTGGAAGAACCAGCAAGGACTTTTTTTTTTAATGAATTCATGCTGGTACCTTCAATTCAAATTCAGCACTGCAGGGCTCTTCCTCATCTAATTTTAGTCCCTATTTGTATTGCCCACAATAAAACTCGGGTTCCCAGTTCCAGTCATACTTACTCATATGCTGTATACTGCAATACACAAAAAATAATTACTACACCAATAACAACAATAACTACCTATTAAATAAAGTTCAAGATTTCTTTGAAGTTCTTTTTCTGCTTAGAATTATCCCACAGTTAGAGTTCTATGTTCAAACTTTTCTTAATTTTTTTCTGGGTGATTGTGATTCAAGTAATGTGATAGAAGATGAATAGGAGTTTGCTAAGTGTGCATGGATCCTGATGAATTTCAGAACAGGAGAGTATATGTTCA